TTATATTAAATATATATATATATATATATATATATATATATATATATATTATATTTCATACTATAGTGATTTTATCTGTCAATGTGATATATATGTATCATACATTTTAGTATAAACTCACAATATCTCGTATTTTCTTATCGTAAAAAAAGTTTAGACTAATTTTGGTGTAAAAAGAACTCATATTCGCATCTAATATATAATTATTAAAATACATATTAATTTAAATTTATTTAATTGGATTTAGATGGAATAGTAGTTTAGAGTTTAAAAATCTAAGTCAAGGTAAGTTATGCATAATTAAGGTTATAAAAGTGTAACGAACCTGATCTCCAAATAAACACGATCAAATTCAATTAGACCTAATTCTCATAGGGTCGAAAATTCAGTTAGACCTAATTCTTATAAGGTCGAACTTGGTTGAATCTAACTCATACGAGTCTAACAATTTAGATTTGTATTTTCAGTGAGTATATTATATATATTTTTGTATGTTTAAAAAGTATATCCTATTTCTTATATGTTTTTTATGTTTGTATTTTTATAAAGTCTATTATTTATATTTTTAATTTTTTAATCATATAAATCTTTAGATTATTATATTTAAAACTTAGTTTTAAACTTAAAAATATTTATTATTTCTTTTCTACATCTCTAAAACTCTTTTAATAAATATACCAACAAACATCAATATGTACATAAACACAAAAGTTTAACACTAGTTTATTTTAAAAGAAAATACTTTTATTTTATAAAATTGTAATAAATTTTTAAATTTTAACTAAATTAGGATCTCAATAATGCCTTGTGGGAACACGCACTGCGAACATGTTATTCGTCGTGTCTGAGAAATTTTGCCTCATTGTATGTTTTTCTACCTTTTGAATATCCATGGAAAATTATTTGTGAGTTTTTTTTTATTTGTATGTCTTCATTGATCCACGTATATCTATTTTTTTTTCATTCTAAATAAGATTGTAAACAAAAATTTTAAAATTACACAAATTATGATAAAAAATTAATTTTAAAGTACAATATAAATAAAATTACATAAGAAAGTATTATTATAAAATAAATTTGATCTTTATAAAAGAATTTAAATAAATTGTATCATAAAATAAGTTATAAGAGATTTAATATTTTTAAAAAAGAATGCAATTTTATATATCTAAATAAAAAATATAAATATATAAAACAAAATTTAAAATTTTTTTAATAATTCCTAATTTTCTTATTATTAATATTTTAATCACTTAATATTTTTTAAATATTCAAATAAAATTCTCATTAAAAATAAAAAAGTATCCAAAAATTAAATATTATATTGTATATCCATTAAAACTATTTATTTTAAAATTTACTTTTAAATATTTACTTGTACATATTCTTTTCTGTTATCTTACTACTTATGTACCGATATTGTACAATAGATTAAATTGATTAAGTACACAATACGAATAAAGAATAGGATTTTATGACTATATATATTATACCGATTATATATTGTATTTGATATAATAAACGATATAATGACAAAAACTTAACTATAATAAAACTTTTTATTCGAGTTATCGCTTAGATAAATACAAACACAATAATATTCTTATAATAAATTAAAAAACATTTTATTTGAATTTTAGTCTATTAATCATAATTTTGCAGTATAAAATGGACACGTTATATATAATTAGTTTATTAAATTTTATTATTATTTTAGAAAGTGTAACAATATATTTATATTATTTGACAATACAAAAGTTTGTATTAGTGCTGTATAAAAGTTAAGCCTAATACAATATGCACGAACAGAACAAAAAATCAGAAATAAACTCTCTTAATATATATACTTCTTTACGTGACGTTTAAAGTTTTAACACAAATGTTAAGAATTGAATAAAAAAGTATTATATATAACATTATTTTATATATATATATATATATAATTTAATTAATAACTCATTTCCTCTTACTGTGCAGTATTTCCAAAGAGGATATATAGTTCTTGAAAAATATTTAATCATTTTCTGTCTAAAATATCATATAAAATGTAACAAACAAAAACAGTATATAAAAGAAACCTTTTCAATTTATTTGTTTTTTAGTAGTTAGGGGAATATTTTAACTTTTTTATTTATTTAATGTTTAATTAATATCCGTAGCAGTATTGATAGTGACTGATAAAGAGGGATATGAATTATTTGGTTTGATAGACACGGAAAACCATCGGTCAACTACACCGACGCGTATGGTCTTAGCTACCAATCTACCTCTCTGCGTAAAATTAAATTCCATCTTACTTATTTAAAATGCAAAGAAAATTGGTGTCTGACAACTGACAAATTCTGCAAAATCTGAATGGGCAGTCATTGAAAAACATAAATTTTCAAAACGAAATAATGATAAGTCTCCGTTGACTCGTGTTGCTGCCTGCCTTGTTCATTGCAAGAGCCCATTTTGGGTTAAATAATATTTTTTATTTTATCCAATCCGAACACTACGTTAATTTCACGTTATCTTAAACATGCAATTATTTTTACACTAGTTGCTAATTAACTAATTAATAAAAGGTTAAATATATGGTTAGTTACTAAATTATCAAGCGAATTTATTTTTAATTTTTTTTTTAAATTAAGATATATTTTAGTTCTTCTCCTTAACATTGTGTTCACTTGTTCTCAATATACTGATTATGCAAATTGACAAACGATGATTTTAAAATTTTACGTGTTCACTTAATGCGAATTGCGCGGATGGAATTGAAGTGAATTGCGAGATTCGTCTACTGTTCAGTCACCCACATATGTGAAGTGATTTGGAGGGATAAAATACAGTTTATCTGAAATGTACCTATTGTTAAAAATAATTTCCAGATGAATCCACGTACTTAAAATAAGTATCCAATTGCACTACATATTTAAAAGAAGCAGTGTTCACTGTTCATTGAGCCCGAAAAAGGAGACCATTCTGTTCTGTGCATGCGTTGAGTGCGGAAGAGGAGAAAGAAGAGAAAGCTCGTGTTGGAAGAGGAGAAAAAAGAGAAAGTTTAGGTGAGGTTAGTATGAGTGTATTGTTGTTTAGGCAAGTATGTTACTGTAATATTTGCAGGATTAGTGGTAGATGAAGAAGATGAGGTTGCTGGACTCTGCTCTCTTGCACCCTGGGCGTATGGATGTGCACATTGACATGACTTACTGCACCCATGGGTTCAAAATGCTGGCTTCCAATTAATGATAAATAATAATAATAAGGATAATAATAATAATAGTAATAATAATAATAAATAGTAATAACAATAACAAATAATAATAATAATAATTAATAATAATAATAATATTAATAATAATAAAATAATAATAATTAGTATTATTATTATTATAATATTAATAATAAAAATAATTTAATAATATTATTATTATTTTAATTTACTAGATTACCATTTTTTATATTTTAAAAATTAATTTATATTTTTTTACACTTTACAAATATTTTTACAATTAAATATAACATTAACAATTATCATTTTATAAAACTTTAATAACTAGGGGTATTTTGGTAATCTATAATTTCTACCAATTAAACAAATTTTGAAAAACTGTCACATCAATCAAATCTTACACTAACTTTCACAAACTTTACCTCTAAATCCACTCTCAATTACTTTCAAATCTACTCAAATAAACACAAAAAAATTTACTCTCAAATCCATTCAATCACTCTCTCCCGAATCATCTCCCCCGATCACCCCCAAGTGAACACACCCTAAGGAAACCTTAATTTTTAGTCCTCCAAAACTAACAGCGTTAAAAACCAGCTGATGTGGCTAACGTCTGACCACGTGTGTTCACAGCTTTCCTTCCTAACTCTTGGCACGTGTGATTACATGTTTGATGAAGAAGGTAATTATTTAGTTTTGGTTTATCTAATAAACCAATCAAACTTGAAGCAAACTTTGAAGATTATGGGAGGAGATTGGCGGCGCTTGGCGATTTGGCCGACGAGTCTATCGCCCTTCTTGGTTAAGCGATCATGGAGGGGGTGTTTCATTAGCCCTCGGCTTTGACGATGATGGTGGACTTCCTAGTAGATTGCTTCACAATTCGAATTCGCGATTCCAGTTTGCTTATGGGAGCAAATTGACGGCGGCGTGAACTGGTTTCACTTGGTGTCGCGATCATTGTTCTAGTTTTTGCTTCGTAGGGTTTGAGACACGAGGATGGAGGCGAAGGAGACAAACTCACGGTGCTCTAGTGACAGCGGCTCTTGGGGGCGCAACAAAGGTTGATAGACGAACCTGATTCGGGGGTTCTCTCTAATTCAAAGGCACGCTGGATCTGAACCGCAAGAGACGCGATTTTGCAGAGGTGCTTGGGCGACATCAATGGCTGCCATAGGGTTCGTTGTTTCCTGATTGCAGGTTGTGCGACGACGACGGAGGACAATCCCGGCGGCAATGCGGTGGGTGAGCAGTGGCGTTGTGGCGAATTGTGAGCGACGACGCTAATGGAAATCCTCGCCGACGATGGCGATGGTCGAAATCCAGCCGCAAGAACGGCGCGTTGCAGGATGAAGGATGTGCATTTTACCAATCAACTTTTCGAAGAAGAAAGGGTCACACCTTTTAGTCAATCAACCTAATAAACCAATATTCTCACTTTGCATTAAAAAATACCAACGTCCCAAGACTTAAGAAGAAAAGTTGTGAACACACGTGTTTTTATACCCGCTTATTAACGGGTCGGGTTTGGATATCACACTATCCGTACCCGCAGGTACCCGTTACCCGTTAAGAAAATAAAGTTACATATTTATCCCTTATTAGGTTTAAGAAACTCAAGGTTTCCATGTTTTCCTTTCCACCGTTTCTTGTTTTCATTTTCTTTCTGCATCTGGAAGAGTAAGTTGTTGGTGATAGATGAATCTCCTATCTGAGACACTGTTTGCTGAAAAAATAAACTGTATTGTTCTCTTCCAAGTACTTCTTTCTTCTTTCCCTACTTTCTTCATTCTTTTCTTTTTCAGATTTGCTTTTCTTTTTCAAATCTGCTGTGAGCTCATCGTTGTTTGCTTTTCATCCCTCGAAAGCTTCCTTCTTCTTGCATTTCAAAGTCTAAACACTAAACAGAGCCTAATAGAGATAATATTTTGAATATAATGATTAAGTTTAATAATATTATTAAATATGGTTTTAGTTTCTAAACTTATTTATTTGTGAAATTAAAATTTATCTTTGTATTAAATTTTGATATATTTTAATTTTTAAACTTTTAATATAATTTAATATATATTTTTTAAGGTTTAATGTCTCAATAAATCTCTATTTTTGTTCAGAATTTGAAATAGGTCCCTTTATTTTTTTGCATCTCAATTGGGTCCTTATTTTTGTTAATTTGATGCAAATAAATCCTTTCCGTCAATTTCATCAAACGGCGTTAATGAATGTGTGACGTGGCCTGAGGACAGTATTGACACGTGTAAGGCCACGTCACACATTCATTAACGTCGTTTGATGAAATTGACGGAAAGGATTTATTTGCATCAAATTAACAAAAATAAGGACCCAATTGAGACGCCAAAAAATAAAGGGACCTATTTCAAATTCTGAACAAAAATAGGGACCTATTGAGACATTAAACCTATTTTTTAATTTTATTATATGAATGTTTTTAATTTGTTAAGCGATATTTTTCATTAAGATTAAAACAAAAATATGTCAAAAACGTCATATATTTAACACAAAAGTAATGCAACGATATAGTATATAAATTGAGAAATAAAAAAGTTCAAATTTTAGAAGATAAATACAAGATTAATTTTACTAATACATGTTACTTTCCTTTTGTTTAAATAAAATTACTTGTACAGATAAAAAAACTTATAAATTTTATCAAAAAATAAATTATTAAAAAATTTGATAAAAGAATAATTAATTATAAAATGTAAAATTATAATTATATAATAATAAGTTTATTTTAAAAATATAAATTTTATCTATGAAATAAAACTTATATACTTATATATTTATGTCGATCTACATTTACTAAATAATTTATCACCAACCTACCAAATAGTTCTAATTTAATAAATTTAACTTATTAGGTCAACTCATAATTTACAACAAAAAGTTTCCAATTAAAAACTAACTTACCACCTATCAATTAAGTTATTACTTGCCGACACCTTCAGTTAGTTAAATTTAAATACTTTACCTTTGGTTTATGAAATGCTTCTTAATAAAATAAATAATTTTCTTATCTTTTGTATGTGATTTAAAAGTAAATATTTTTTCGCTTATGGTATGGCTTTGAGCTTTGTGAAGACAGTGAATTCTTCGTGTGTTGGGCATTAAGGGGCACTCTATTTGTTTGGTACTGAGTGATAAGGAGTTAGCACTTCTTTGTTGTAGATATGTACATATGTTTCTCTTAATTCATTGCGCAGAGGTTATGTGAACACTAGCGCTGAGTGTAAAAAATGGATGTTGAGTGCTACTTGTTTTAAATGATATTTCATGTTTTCTGTGTTATTTTGATTTTAGATATGCTTGAATTAAATTATTTTGAATTATATGTTTATGTTTAATGATAATAAATATGGATATGATTATAAGTGGTATGTGATAATATAGTGAGTATGGAAGGTATATGGTATGAGAAGAATTTCAAGGAATAGTTCTGAAGGTGATTATGTATAGTGTATGTATTAATATAACAACTTTATATTAGGGGTTATTCTAACACTCTTAATAACTTCCAATCTCAAGCAGAGAATGATGATTATGTTGTAAAGAGTAGTACGAGACCCTTAATTTAGTGATTGTTTCTTGGCCATCATAGATGTTTGACATATTAACCTTAACATGTGATGGTAAGATATGTCAAATATTATATTAGTAAATATTATCTAATCAAGTATTGTGTTGGTTATAATTAAGACATTATTATAATTTGTGCAATTGTCATTTCTTTAATAGATGAGGAATTATAGAACCCTTGTGTGTGTGTATATATATATATATATATATATGTTATCCTAATATTTGAAATAATACATCATAATTATTCTTTAAACCTTTTTATATGGTATCAGAGCCAAACACTGACATCCTCTACAATATAGGAATTGGTGTTTTCTAATTTCATTGAATGTTTTTTATGGCTTCTTCCGATAACAATAAATCAAAGAAACATGATTTTGGGACTTCTGCTGCTTCTAAGAGCCATATTTCTACTACTGTCATATTTGTGACCAAGTTTTATGTTGCTACCAGGGGTAGTGATTGGATAATTGATTCAGGTGCTACTTATCATATGACTTGTGATCCTCATAAATTTACTATTTTTTCCCTAATTGTTCTAAAAGTGTTAATATTAATGTCAATGGGGTCTTGTCTTCTATTGAAGGTGTAGGTACTATATCCCTTTCACCCTCCTTATCAATTCCTGATGTTTTATTTGTTCCTACGCTGAATTGTAATCTAATCTCCGTTAGTAAGTTAACCAACTCACATTCTTGTGTTGCCTTGTTTACCCAACCCATTGTCTTTTTTAAAACAAACATTCCAGGGAGAGGATTATCAAACACATAAAGGAGCATTGACTTGTCTTGGGAATGATCACATACAAGATAAAAAGAAAAAGAAAATTTGGTTATGGCATAGACGGTTGGGACATTCCTCTTTTGATTATTTAAAAAAATTATTTCCATCATTATTTCATAAATACAATATTTATGATTTTCTTTGTGAAACTTGTATTAAGGAAAAAAGTCACTGTGTTGTGTTTCCGCAATAAAAAAATCTGATTTTCTTTACATTAATTCACACATATGTTTGGGGCCTTGCCCTATAATATACACATAATGAAAAAAAATGGTTTATCATTTTTGTCGATGATTGTGATAGGGTAACCTAGGTGATTTTTCTTAAACATAAAAGTAACGTGTGTGATGTGGTTCATTCCTTCCATCATATGATTGTTGCACAATTTAATACATCTATTAAGATCATTCGATCAGACAATGGAGGGGAATATTTTAAGACTGAATTAATAAAGTTCATGAAATGTAAAGGCATTTTGCATCAAACTAGTGTCCTTATTCACCATAACAAAATGGAGTGACTGAGAGGAAAAATAGACATATTTAATTAATTGAACCCCTTCTAGTGTGCTTAAATTTCAAAGGCCTTTAGATGTTTTGTCTGATCATTGTATCATTCCTTTTACCACTTCATGTCTTTGGATGTGTTATATATGTTCACTTACACCCACATTAACGTACAAAGCTTGAAGAACAAGTTATCAAATATGTTTTTGTTGGGCTATGGATCAACTCAATAAGGTTATCATGGTTACCATCCACCATCAAAGAAATTTTATATTTCTATGGATGTGACGTTTAATGAACATGAATTTTTTTACGTTGATTCTCCACTTCAGGGAGGCAATGAAAGTGAAGTGCATAATCATGATGGAGGAGTAAAATTAGTTTGTAGTAGCAAGATCTAGTGCTTAAGCAGAGACATGACACTGAGTGTATGTGAACTTTTGTGATTAAAAATGTGTTATGAGATTTGGGCCTTAAACCAAATGAAACTATGAGTTTGTACTGTGACAATACGTCGGCTATAACAATTCTTACAATCTTGTGCAACATGATAGAACAAAGTATGTGGAGATTGATAGACATTTCATCAAAGAGAAGCTTGAAGCTGGAATAATTTTCTTTCTTTTTTTGTAAGATCAAAATTGCAGTTGGCTAATTTTCTCACCAGAAAAGTGTCAGGGAGATTGTTTAATGTCTCTCTATTCAAGTTGGGAATGTGTGATATTCATGCACCAACTTGAGTAAGAATGTTAAGATATGTTAAATATTCTATTAGTAAATATTAGGTAATCAAATATTGTCTTGGCTATAATTTAGTCATTATTATAATTTGTGTAAATTTGTGCAATTGTCATTCCTTTAATAAACAAAAAATTATAAGACTCTTGTATGTATATATGTTATCTATTATTTGAAATAATACATCATAATTATTTTTTAAACCTTTTTATATGTGTGAGCTAGTTATTTCACCACCACCGACGCAGGATCATGTATTTAGATGGTTAAGTTTAGAGATGAAAATTATATGACTTAATGATTGATGGTTTTACCTAGTTCTATAAATGTGATTTTGTTTTTGGTAAATGTAATCATTTATAAACATATTTATCTGTGCAAAATAATTCACGAATATAAAAAAAAAAATAAAGTAGTTAAACTATATTAAATTATATTCATATAACTTACTTTTNATTTGATGCAAATAAATCCTTTCCGTCAATTTCATCAAACGGCGTTAATGAATGTGTGACGTGGCCTGAGGACAGTATTG